TAACTGCCATTTTTACCTCAGAGAGTGAAGAGAGCGCTGACTGGAAACAGCCAGGAAGGAAATGGCTGCCAACTCTCTGAAGCCTGATCACTTCTAAGGCATGAAACATATTTTAAAGACTGTTTAAAAGGACTGTTTATTCCCTCTGCTCTCTGTAAGAATTCAGAAAGACTGCTGTATATATTGTTGCTCTGTTTGACCTTTTGAACTGAAGTAAAGTTACTGTTACTTGTTACACAAATCTGAATGACACATTGTTATACTGCAGGGTATATTTTGGTTCAGAGACAGTGGTAAAGCTTCTGTTTATTTATATTTACAAACACCCACAGACTTCACTATTCCCTTAAGCACTTGTAGGTATGGGCAATCCATGCTTCTAAATGGCTCTGAAGTACTTACAAAACTAAAGTTCTAGTGCTGAAAACTAGGGGGTGCTGGTGCTTTGCTTCTACAGTGTTGCTAAAGTTCTGGTGGTCAAAATTTCAGAACTCTGACAAAAATTTCAAAGTTTCATTAATTACTGGGTTGTTATAGGTTTTTCAGGCTATATGGCCATGTTCTATAAGCATTGTCTCCTGATGTTTTGCCTGTATCTATGGCAAGCATCCTCAGAGGTTGTAAGGTCTGTTGGAGACTAGGATAACTGGGTTTATATATCAGGGAAACTCCAGAGAGGAAACAATCAGGGGAAGCTAATCTCCTCTCAACAAAAGATTCCCCCAGGCACTAACAAGCCATACCAACAAACTGCCAGGCCATCAAATGGTAATCAAGGTGGCCAATTGAAACATTCACACCTAGCTCCAACAGACAAGAGTTCTTTCTCCCACCCTGGACATTCCACAGATATATAAACCCAATTTTCCTAGTTTCCAACAGACTTTGCAACCTCTGAGGATGCTTACCATAGATGGAGGTGAAACGTCAGGAGAGACTGCTTCTAGAATATGGCCATATAGCCCAAAAAACCTACAACAACCCAGTGATTCCAGCCGTGAAAGCCTTCAACAATACATTTCATTCATTATTTAGTTATTGGCGATTTTTATGCCAGATCCAATTAGGAGCTGCCATTTATAACAAAATTTTGAAAGTTTTGTTAGAGTTCTGAAATTTTCACTGCCAGAACTTTAGCAACACTATAGAAGCAAAGCACCAGCACCCTCTAGTTTTTGCCACCAGAACTTTAGTTTTGTAAGTACTTCAGAACCATTTTAAACCATGAAGCATATTCCACTGCCAAGCAGCTTTTACTGTCAAGAAGTTCTTTCATGTTTTGGTAGAATTTTTTTCCTGCCATTTGAATCCATTGCTCCTTGTCCTAGAGTCAAGGGCTGCAGAAAACAAGCCTGTCCCATCCTCAGTGTGACATCTTTTCAGATATTTAATGGTGGCTATCGTGTTCCCTCTCAGACTTCTTTTCTCCAACCTAAACATTCCCAGCTCCCCAAACCTCTCTTCATGGGGCTTGGTTTCCATACCCTTGGTCATTTTGGTCGCCCTCCTCTGGACATGTTCCAGCTTGCAATATCCTCCTTGAATTGTGGTGCTCAGAACTGGACACACTATTACATATGACGTCTGACCAAAGCAGAATAAAGAGAGACTATGATTTCCCTCAGTCTCAACAGATGTAGCCAAAAATCACATTGGCTTTTTCAGTTGGCTCATGTTCAGCTTGTGGCCTCCTAAGATTCATAGAACCCTTTCACATGGACTGTTTTCAAGCCAAGTGTCACCCATCCTATATAAGTGCATTTCATTTATATTGTCAAAGTGTGGTGCCATTCATTTATCCTAGTTGACACTCATTTTGTTAGTTTTGGCCAAAAAAAGTTATCAAAATAAGTTCTTCTCATTTCCCCTCTTTGTTGAGAACTCTCCAAAACAACTTTGTGAAGTAAACAGATGGTGGGGTATTTATATTTTTTATTAAGTGATTATTGTCCCTTAACAAAACTGACTAAACAAAGGAAAGGTAATAGAAGGAAGTATTGTGTTAGGAAAACAAACATACCTGTTCCCATTGTAAACAAAACTATTAGCAGATAGTTGTCACTTTTGCCAATTAAGGGATTAATGTTAGTTCTGCAGACAAAACAAAAGTGACTGGCCAAATATCACTCAACTCTGTTTCACAACTGGAAGGGATGTGCGAGTAGGCTTTCTGATCCCAGTACATCACTAAAATCACAGTGTTATGCATACTGATAGTAAGCGTACATGATACTATTAAGTAAGGAGAGAATTTAAACCGTGTATGTTATATGTTGTGATGGCCTCTAAAGGAATGCTGGTAAAGGGCTATGAAACACACAAAAATAGTTTTATTGTTGCTACTGGGATCAAACAATATGCAGGCCTCTGCCTTCAAGTTGATCTGAACTGCAGCAGGGAGTTCCACAGTTCCTGGATGTTTGGTTGGGCCAGCATCTGTGGGACTATGGCCAACCGGGATGCTCTTACAGCGTCCCGGGTAGGCTGGATGTTTCTCTGAACTATGGATACGGAAACCCATTGGGCCCCTGTATCCGTGGGTCAACAGATCGGCTCCAAACCAGTGCCATTCTTCTCCTAGACCAGTGATGGGCAACCTTTTGAGCTTGGTGTGTCAAAATTTGCCAAAAACCTGAGCATAAATTGGGCGGAGTGTCACTTTGAGAAAAAAAACCATAATTTTGCAATATTTATAGTTTAAATAAGAAAAAATGTAGATTCCATGCTGAGTTATGGAGTGAACAATGCTCAAACATGCAGATGTTAAATTTGTAGAGCCTTTTACAAATTTAAGGATGGAATTAGATTGGCTCTTATAAGGTGTATTTCTTTGTATGTGGCCGCATGTGTCTGCGTGTCATCAAAAATAGCAATGCGTGTCAGTGCTGACACGCGTGTCATAGGTTGATCATCATGGTCCTGCTATCTCGTTTTTTGCATTATGGACTCCTGTGCCCTGGGAATAACTATTTTCACCCCAAAAACTCATGTGGAGATCAGCTGATTGTGATCTATGGCTCCATGCCGCAACGTCATTCCAGCCTCCATCTTGCGAGGGCCCACAAGCCTGCCGATCCTGGGGAACCTGCTGTGGTCACCCCTTGGGACCCCCGGATCACAGACAGGCCATTCTGGCCCTTAGATGAAATTGGATTTACAGTTTTTTTCCTCTCATCTGAATGGATTCCAACTCTTGGCACTCACAATGATTCCAGTGTACTCCCCATGAACTCTTATGAACTTTTCCCCATTTCTCATGAACTCTTTGAACTTTTATTAACTTTTGCCAACTTTTGGAGAACTTTCAGAACTTTTCAGGAACCTTTTCTCCAAACCCCATGGATGTTTGCCATACATTATTAACTTTCAATGGACTTTGGTGGGAGAGAGGGCTGATATGATTTCCATTTTCTTCTCTTATATTTATCCCCTATGATCCCCTTGTATGTTCCCCCTTCCACATATCCCTTATATGAAATACGAAGAAATGCCACTTTTCATGAAGTCAGCACCTCGTGGCTTTGGGAAGGCTTCTCTTACTTCCTGTGCCAGCTAATCCCCAAACAAAAGGAATCACTAGACTCTTTGCATGAGTGATAAAACAAATGACTCTATTTCCTCAGAGGCTAGTCTAGGCTAGTCTATCTGAGAGATAGATCCTATGGAGAATTTAATCATCCCTCACAAAAGGTGCTTGGTCACCTCAGTCTCCTTCCATTATGTCCACCCAGCTGGCTGATACTGATCCAAGATATCACCAACAAATCCCATATCCTGGACCTAAGGACAACAACAGGTCTGGCTTCCTAGTCAGACGAAGATGTATTTTCCAGGAATCTAAACAATAGCCAAGCCAGCTTGAGGGCTAGGGAAAAGCTATTGCTGGCAATCATACAAACATTAGTCATTTAATCCTGTCATCTTTTCCTCCCGGTTCATTGTTTCCCGCCCAGATCACCTCTTCTTTTCCCATTGGCCGAGAGGCCGAAGCGGTACTGGCTCCCTGATTGGCTAAGGCACAGCTAAACCGGCCGCGCCTCCCAGCCAGATGATGACTCCATCCAATCAGCGCGAAGCCAGCAAAGGGGAGGGGGGGGCAGGAGTGGGAAATTTGAATTTGACAGCTCTGTATTCTCTATAAAGACAAGTGTTATTTTGCCTTGTGAGTCATGTCGGCTTTGGCAAATGATTGCAGTTTGACATCAGTTCCAGCTGGAACGAAATAAACAACTCAGTGGCATTTCCTTCAACTTTAGTGAGATTTGGGAAAAATCAGGGAAATTTATTTTGGTGCTTCCTTCTCGCCAGGGTTAACGGATACTCTTTGGTGGGTCTAGCTGGCCTCCGTCTTCAAGGCGAGGCCTTCCAAATTCATGTTTGATATCACTACTATTCATGATGGCTGTAGGGAATTCCTGAAATTGCTGGGGAGCAACAAAAAGACTAGGGCTGGATCTACAATGCCATATAATGCAGTTTCGGAATGCAGATTAACTACATTGAACAGTGTTATATGGCAGCGTAGACTCACATAACCCAGTTCTATGCAGTTAATCTGCATTCAGTGTACATCAAGGGCCCCCTGATGGCACAGCAGGTTAAATCGCTGAGCTGCTGAACTTGCTAACTGAAAGGTTGGCAGTTTGAATCTGGGGAGCGGGGTGAGCTCCCACTGTTAGGCCCAGCCTTTGCCAACCTAGCAGTTTGAAAACATGCCAATGTGAGTACATCAATAGGTACTGCTTCTGTGGGAAGGTAATGGCACTCCATGCAGTCATGCCAGCCACATGACCTTGGAGGCATCTATAGACAACACCCGCTATTCAGCATAGAAATAGAGATTCACACCAACCCCCAGAGTTGGATAGGACTAGACTTAATGTCAGGGGAAACCTTACCTTTACCTTAGATCCAGTCTGTACATTCCACTTGTAGGTTTCTGATATGCATCTAGTTGGCCATTCAGGGGAGACTGAAGACAAATAAAGAGACTGGGGCCATTTAATTGCAGTCACGTTTATTTGCAGTTTCTATACACACTTCCTAGATAATCAAACTTTTCCGACATATTTTCGAAGGGGGTTCACAATGAAACTGTCACTGTTTTTACTAAAAAATAAATACAAGACTTAAAGTGTTGCACAGCTCTAAAATATACAAAGGCTTGGATTTGATGTAAACTTTGAAAACATTTTACAAAAGAAACCATCTTTGCAACGATTTAAAAATTGATATTTACAAATATTACAAAAATACAAAATGGATGCAAGTCCATAAACCATTGTCTCTTCTGCCAGCATGAACTGGGGCTAGTACCAAAATAGTTACACTGTAACCTTTTTAATTGGTTTTTAAACGTTTAAGTCATAACCTACAGTATTTCTCTAAATCTGCCACAATTGCAGCAAATGCACTCTTTGTCAGTGACCTTTGGCAAATGCAAACATATGCTTTATTTCTATAGCTAATCTGTATCTTCTATGCTGCCACAATATTCAAAAGAAAAAGAAAAATGTTATTCAAAGAAAAACAATCAGCTGCATAACTTCAAAACCCATTCTTGTAACATCAGTGCAAACAACAGAATTGTAAGTTGGAATGATGGTTCACAAGTTAGCTTTGTTTTTAATTTATACCCTGTTCCAAGATGGGATTTTGCTTAATTTCTATCCATTTTGAGGGCTTTGAAGGCATATATGACTTGTGTAGGACAATCCTATGCATGTTTACTTCTGAGTCCTACAGGATTCAATAAAGCTCTTCATTCACATAGCTGTGCACCTTTTACATGTGCAAAGAGCTCCTAAGTTTGAAGGGTGTTCACATTAAGTTCAATGAAGGGACAACACTGAATGTGCAAAGTTGGCATCCCTTCCCCATTGTGAATGAGGACAATCTTTAAGGGTAATAGAATTCCACATGCCTACAGCACATTGCTTTATCAGGGCTTATTTTGAATATAATTTTTATAAAAGTGGATTTATAATCCACTTTAATTGGGCTTTAATGTGATAAATAGAAAATAGAAACACTTTGTCATAGATTTTTTTGAGTAAACAAAATAAGTATTTATATGATAAGTTTTGTGAGCATTACATAGACATTATATAGAAGGTGTTTCTCTGCCTTCTAATTCAAGTTGCATGTATTTTTAATATATATTTATATATATTTATTTATATAGCTCTCTGTGGTCTCAATACGAAATTAGTAACTATGTTCTCCACAGTGTTTCATCAACACTGGCAAAATTGGCTTAAGCGGACTCTGGATGGCACATAGGAAATCTTGGAGAAACCAATTCAGCTGTTTTCTCGTACAGTTTTACTAGAGAGTATGTGTAGCACTTTTTGGAAATCATTTTGGCACACTGATTTGACATGAAGGTGGTACTGGCGATGTCTGTTTGTGACTCTAGTACCACTTCATTCTTAGCACCAAGAGATGCACCCAGTTACAGAGTCAGGTTGTAATAGTGCTACTGGTGGACATTTTGATGAAAATATTCTGAAATGGCACTTGTGCCTCTGCTATCAAGTTAATATTCTTTCTTCGCTCTCCTTTTTTAAAGCTATGCAGACTTTGTTAGCTCACAAATGCATTCCATTTCACTTGCTTCATAACCACTCTTCAGAGCTTGCCTATTTAACTGCAATGGAAAAGGCTTGCTTCTAATGCACTAACTCTTTTCCTTTACACACCTCTGCAAAGTATGTAGGTTTGAATCCTTTTTTGCTTTCTGGCAAGCAACTCCTAAACATTTGTCTCAACATATCTGCCTACTCTACCTGCATAAAATCTTTGCCTGGTGCCAGGATGTCTTCACAATTTGTGATGGCATTATGGCTCAGCAGTTCAGTTTGCCCATCCTAGACACTTCTTGCCAGAAGGGCAAAACCTAGTATGGGGCAAATAATCCTGATCTCACTAGTCTTTCTATACACATGCTGACCAACCATCTCTTCCCACATTGGAAGGCTGCAAGAGACTCTTTGAAAACATAGTATATTTCCATGAATCTCCGACAAAGGAAAATCTGATACCTGATTTTGAATGGATCTCATCATTTATTTGATCACTTCAACTCCAGGTGCAATATACCTGTCAATCTATCACAATGAGCAAATAAACATAAATCCTTCTCCTGGTTTCCACTTCCACATGTTCATGTTAAAAATAACTTTTTTTTTCTTAAAGCTACCTTACTCATTGACCTACTAGTGACTACCAACTTCATCCAGCCATTCTGATCAATCAGTACTGCACATCACACACATTCCTTTTCTAAATGGCTCTTTATTTATATTCTGCCATTAATTATTTCTGCAGTTAATTAATAGCAGCAGACTGCATTTGGGAAAACCTGGCCTGAATATCTATCTGATTTTGGATTGTACTGCAACTGGAAAACTGATGTATCAATGAAAAAAGCGATATTATTTTGTGCATATCAGTGTTTTGCTTTTAAAAACCCAATTTGATCTCACATCAATTTTTTGTGACAAGAAAATTCAAGTAACTTCAAGTAATCCAGTCTTTTGTTTCCCTGCCTTTATTTTATTAATAATATTTATTCTGATTCTTTATCCCACTTGCGATAAATTCTCATCCAGTAAAGCATTTCTGGTAAAACTAGTATAGAAGGAAACTGATCTGTAATGGATCAGAGAGCTTCCTCATTCCTATTTTAGTAAGCTATATAAAGTGTGTATGCATACGCCTATTTCTCAGCTATTTTTTCACAGTGTCATTTCTCTAAACATTTAGGTAGCATGAATGTTATGCACACAAAGTTTCACTGAAAGGTTGTTATACAATTTTATTGATGAATCAACAGCATTTGTTGCATGCTTAATAGTTAGTTTATAAATATAAAACTAATCCTGTTTTAAATTTTTAGTTATTAGGTTATGACTAGGTCTTTCATCAGCCTAGCAGTGGTAATAATAATATGAAACAAATATTAAGTAATTACAATTACTTAAACTCTCCCCTTCTTTCGCAGTCATTGCCCAAATTAACTGCTTGACATCATAGAAAAACTTGTTACTTTAGAAGGAGAGGTTTTTTTCCATATTAAAAGTGTGCTTTTTATCTCAGACAACAATATTATATTTTTGGCACACTACATATTTAAATCTGTTTGAAGTCTATTAAATGGTTGTGGCTTCCCCTGTGAAATCCTGAGAATTACAGTTACGGATTGGTTCCATAGATGTTACATTTGAGTGCCCTTTAACTATGATATCATTATCCCAAGGCTTAAATCATTTTCTTGGTGCTCAAGTGTGAAGTAGTTAGATTAATCACAAACTCTAGGTTTCCAGAATAAGTCTCTAGTTTGGGGGATAAAATGCAAAATCTGCAGGTATGATTATGACAGGTGATTTCCAAGAAATGACTTTATTTCCTAGCCTTGGAGTTTTGATTTCTATTTTTTATGCCGATAACTGAAACAATATCCATGATTGAGTATTGTTTGGAGAACAACTTCCAGCCATGAATGTGGTCTTCTTCCTTGGTGCAGAGCTGGTTGTTACCTTAGAGAAAACAAGCCAGCAACTTAATACTTCATGTGATTAGGTATTAATGTGTACACCTGCCAGTGCAAATTGACTATATTTGTAGGGCCATCACTAGGGAACTGGTATAGGAGTCAGTTAGCCTTGGCACCAACTCTGGGGCTTACTGGAGTTAGCAGGGTTGCCAGCAGGCCAGCCTCCCTCCATGATGCCAGTGATATATGCAATGGCACAGGGCCATTAGGGCCCATCATTCACCATAACAAGATAATGATTGGGTTGTTCAGCTCATTGCCACTCCTCAAAACAAGGAGAAATATTTCAGATGATTACACTGGTGTGTGACTTCATTTCTGAACCATAATTGTTTCCTGCTTAGGTGAATGACTGGATGGGTCTGGACCATCTCGGCCTCTTCTTTATTATTCTGAAGGTCCTTTGCTGCCACTTTTTCCTCCCTCTTTTCCCCACAATTGCCACTTTTAGCATTTTATTTGCATGTGCAGTCAAGTAATGTGTTCCTAACCTGTTACTGCCCAGTAGATTATCCTTCATGTCCATGCTGCTCAGAACAAGAGGAGAGATCGCATTCCTTTCTTTCCAGTAAACCTGAAGCTACTTTTGATTCACTTTCCCCAACGTGGTAAATGAATGGTAGATTAGAACTCCATGGTCCCTCTCAATACCAAAAACATCTGAAAACAAGTTCAGGTATTTTCCTATAAAGGTGGGACATATGATTTCTTTCCCTTTGAAAGAGTTCGTTGTCTCCTATGAGAAACAAAGCCTCTTAAGGCTTTAATGTACTCTAGATGTAGAGAGGAGAACATGTTTTCTGCAGGTTTAGTGAGGAAAGAAATGTCCTCCAGGAATTCCTTGCTCGTCCAATTTGAAAAAATGATTGTTTTAATCTCCATGAATATCTGTGCATACATGAGACTAAAGTCTTAATTTCAGTTCATGGAACTGAGTATAACACTGGAAATCTCTTTCTTGTGTTGAAACACAACGTTATGCTGGCCATAGGCAAGTTTAAAGTTTGTATGGAAATATTTATTGCAGGCCTATCCCTTTAGTTCCCAAATTGGAAATTGCTTCACTCTTGTGTCCTTATTTTATTTTTCTGCCTTGGGGTGTGGTGGAGTCTTCTCCTTCAAAGATTTTTAAAAATGAGGTAGGATAGACATAAGGTGAGAGTGCTTTGATTGTGTATTCCCATATGGCAAGGAGCTGAACTGAATTAATCTTGTGGTATCTTTCAATTGTTCTTGGCAACATGTAAATCCCACCCATAGATGTAAATGGATCAACTAGAAAAGATTATTTGGGCTGGATCTACAATGCCAAATAAGAGTTTTAATTGCATCATGTGGTCAGTGCAGACCTATATGATGCAGTTTGAATTGTATTATTTGGCAGTGTAGATCCAGTCTTAGTCTGGATGCAACCCATGTTTTCTTTCAACAGGCCTTCTCCTATCCTGACCATCCCCTTGAGGCATGAACAATATGTGCTGGGTTAAAGCTTCAGATAGATATTTCTGCAGTTCTCAAAGAATTGAATAGTTGACTCCAACCTTCATTGGAGAGGGGTAACATATTTTGAAAATTTGATTCAAATTCCAAGTTTAGATCTTCAGTTTAGGTTTGTAGCTTATCTTGGGCCTGCCATATTCTCTTAGCTTGAACTACCACCTCTTTGTATTGTTGAAATGGTAATTAAGTAGGGGAGGGTGGCTAAGAACTGTACCTGGAGATCCCTGGACACGATATATGCTGCCCAAGACAGACTTCTCCAGTTGTCTCCTTACTAGTTCTCCTATCTGTGCAATTATTTTTCTTAATGTTATTTTTGTTTCTTGGAGGAAGGGGTCAAGTAAGCTGCATGGGAAGATGTGAGCTTTTTTTATGCTTCCAAATTGGATCACTCTGGACAATGCTAAAACTACTTTCTAACACGTTCTTCGGCCTCTAAAGCCCCTTCCACACAGCTGAATTAAAATCCTACATGATCTGCTTGAACTGGGATATATGACAGCGTGGACTTGGATATTCCAGTTGAAAGCAGATATTGTGGGTAATTCTACCTTGATATTCTGGGTTATATGGCTGTGTGGAAGGGCCCTTAGACTTCCCGCTTGTCCTTTTATCCCTTCAGAAGAAACAATCAGGCATAAGTGGGGATATTCTAGACCAATATTTCTCAGGGATGTGAATGATCAAGAGGTTCTTTTCCTAATATTATAGGGACTGGCACCATATTTGGACTCATTGGCCACAACTCTTTTTCCCTTTCTTTCTCTGGAATTTTGCTGTGGACTTGTGACAAATGGCTCACACATAGATCTGGAGACCATCACTTCGACTAGCATTGTTCTACAATTTCCACAAATTCCTTATTATTAGCTATGGAGACCCATGAAAGTCTCAATTTATGTCTTAAAGTAAACTGTAGGGCCCCATTCTTTACAAAACCACCCAGATGTAGGCTCTTTAATTTCATTAGGGATTAGCTCCTTGGGCATGTGTATAGAATTAGTGTGTGAGCTATAGAAAAATGCAGTGGGAATATCTCTTCTCACAAAGAATAAAGGGTGTTTGTTGACTATGTTCTAAATACGCTCGATATAAGTACTTAAATCTCATTTCAGCGCCAAACATACCCCCTTTTCTTGTGTTTTTTTGTGTATTAAAAGGCAATTTACCACAGCAATTCCCTATAAAAAATCTTCTTCTGAAAAAGATCTTTATATATTATTCAGAAGCCACCAGAGCAAAAGTGAGGAGAAGGGAAGATTTAACACCTCATGCCAATACATCTTGATGGTCTGAGAGATTCCTGAATAACTTTCCCCCCCACATGATCTCCAATGAAGGAGAGCCCACCACACTCTGCAGTACTACATTCTGAGAGATATTTAATCTCACATTGAGTTTCAAGCGGTGGAGAAAGAATACTTATATCCAAACCTCCAAAGATCGCAAGATCAGGAATAATCCAAACTGATAGCCTTTTTGATATGGAGAAACCAGCAGAGAAAACAGCACCAATTTAACCTTGCTTCCTCTGCTCTCCCTATCTGTTCTGCTCCAGATCAAGTCATTTTTTTCCTTTGAATTTTTTCACTGCTTTACTTTTTCTCATTCATACTGAATCTAAAATAATGGAATCATAATTACATTAATCTTTAGAATTTTGAAATATTGCACAATCTTTGTGTTTGGTTGTTCTTACTAATCTGCATTTCTCCCATGCTACGTGTTATTGCTGTTGTTGTTGTTTTCTTTCTTTGTTACTCTTTATTTGTGTTGCCAGTTAAATTCAGTATTTGGAAAAGTTACTTATTTACGTAGTACTCCCAGCTGCATCCCTCAGGCAGTATGACAAGTGACTTCGTTGCCTGGATGATTCTGGGAGCTGTATGCCAGTATTTTAAAAATTTCTGGCTGAAACTTGGTCAATATGATTCTCCTTTGTTTGAAAACCACTTTAGACTAATCTGTTCAAGTTGATCTGTAAGAGTTGCTAGGGTTTTAATCGAAGGGGTATGTTTCTTTTCTCCTCACTGTCAGCTTTTTGTTTTTTTCCTGTTTATATGGACCCTACATAGGCTTGAAATGTTATCTGCTCAATGCAATGTCTTGCCATCATATGTCAGTCTGGGAGACAGACAGTCCATTGGTCTGCTAAAGAAAGACTATATTACCGGCACATTCTGCAGGTCTGTTTGGGATGCTTTTGGAAGGTAAATCTATTATTAATCTTTCACATGTAAACATGTTTGGGGAAGAAAGATGTCTGGACCTGAGCCAGTTACCATAAAAATGAAGTAATTTAGGATGGTTCAAAAATATGGTAGATTGTTTAAGAGACAAGGGCACTAACTTGTTCAATATAATGGCTGGCTTTTTTGTCAGCAAACCAGCCATGCTTTTGCATGACTATATTTCTCAGGATTTTTGGCCATGGTTTGGGATGTGGGGCAGGAGGAAGAAGCCACAATGGAAAATCTGGTTTCTAAACAGTTTGGATATGTAGTGCCTGCCAAATAAGCCTCTGCCACAAGTTGCAATTTCATATAAGCATTTTGGGAAGAGAATTAATCGGATACTATTTAATATGATAACTTTTTATTTATATTGAGGATTTCCTCTAATTCAAGTGTTAAAATTCATGATAGAGGCTTAATGATTTAACTGCAAGTGGTTGTGGTAGATATGTAAATTATGTTTGATATGAAAATTGTATTCACAGAATACAGTCAATAACCTTATCCATTTTTTGTCTTTCAACAAAGTTATCATTTGCCACCAACCACTTTTTTCTGACTCTCCAATAACTCTATTTACAAATATTTATCAAAAATATGGATATGTACATCTGTTTTGTTTGTATCTTCTAAATTTCATTTCACTTCATTTTAGTGTAAAAAAATACCAATTCCTCAAGCGATTTTATGTTTTCCCACTTAGGGAAGCACAACAGTGAGGATCATTTTTTACGTTTTGATGGCATCTTTGGAGTGGAAGAGGGAGTTCTGAAAACCGGATAATGGAAATCTACATCAATGGCAGGAAACATGAGAGTAATGATTGACAGTTAACCAAAGTTAACTTTTTCAGCATATGCCTCTACTTATAGAAAATGTGAAGTAATAAATAGCTACAGATCATCTTCTCTTTTTTCCAGTCTCTCAGCCTTCCTTCGCGTTTTCAAGCATCAGTATTGCCCTGCATGGTTTTTGGCTGCTACAGAATTGGCTTTTTATATTCACACGAGCCAAGTGAATGTGAAGTTCCCCATTTAACAGTCAGAAGTGTGCTCCAGCCTCTACGTAGCCTATGTAGAGCTCTGAGAAGATCGATCGTCATGAGGGCTCCCATCAGAATTCTCAGTCTCTCCTTCTGAAATGGCTTGCATCGGGGTGTTGTACAATCTGCAGCGAACGCTGTATCGGCTACTGCTGGCTGCAGGAGGTGCCCTTGACCGTCCTACCCGTGATGATGCTGATGTAGGAAAGTTTTTGGAGGAACCCCCTTCTGGATTTATTCTTGGGGGGCAAGGAGAGAGAGGAGTGAATGCCTCGATGCTTGATGAGGCTTGGGAAAACTCATCAGTGTTTTGTAGAGTATCTCCAAGTAATTCTCCAGGAGATTTGGGTGAAACTGGACTCTTCAGTATTTCGGTCGCTGACATCCGATAGCTAGAATCAGACCGGCTGCCCTTTTTCAGGAGCAGCAGTTTGAATTCTTCATTTGACGTATTGGACTTTTTGGCATTCCTGTAAATAAGTCCAGGAGATCTCTGAGAGCACACTGGGCTTGCGACACTTGGAGGAGGGGGAACGTTAGCTGCAGGGGGTGTGCTGCTGGCAGGAGACACACTGCTAGTACTAGATGAAGCTCTTGATTTGTTCCTGGTAGAAGTCTCTCCAGAATCCTTTCTTCCAAGTACTTTCCTTTTTGATCTGTAATGAAAAGATTAAACAATATTCAGTGTTAACTTCATTCACTGCTGAGCAAAATCACAATATGTTAGCCATGATTATATATGCGCCATTAAACATTTGGTGCCAGGTACTACTATACATTGGGATTTGTACACAAAGACACAGATGTACATATATAAAATCAGTGTATCATATTACCTTGAACAAAGTCTTTTCAAAAAAGAAACCCATCTTTCACTCTTTGAAAGCAGATTCGCTCAGATAAGTGTACAGAGAATACTTAGGAGGAAAATAAGCAGTACCTAGAACGGATTCAGAAATCTTAGAGGGATTGAAGCTGAACAACTCCTTGACCATCTTTCCATGCTCCCTTCTCCCCAGCGCAACACTCTAAATATTACAGCTGTTATGAATCAGAATCAAGGAAGACATGGAATGAGATGACTCCTCAACACTTGCAGTCTCAATGCCATATTGGCCTTGTTGCAGTTTATCTGCTTTGTTTATCCAAACCTGATGTAGGAAAACCACAAAAGAGATCTGATGTAATGATTGAGGAGTAAGATACTAAATAACGCTTATATGAAGTATGTTAGAAAGGTTTGGTCATTAGCAAATTTTTAGGGTGAAGGAGAAACCTCCCCAGTTTTGAGTTCAATAATGTAGTCATCGTGAATTGAAGACAGCAGTTTATTTAATAACACAGGGCCAGTCCACATGTTCAGCACCCAACTCAGCAGTCTTACACTGAAGCAAATATATAACTTCCCATTTCTAGCAGTTTTTGAAAATCTGCCTAGCAGCATATAACAACATAAAGCAAATTGTAGGAAGACACTGGAGATATATTAGCCAACCATGAAGCAGTACTCAGGCCATATTGTCCTAAATTCATGCTAAATGTTCTGCTAAATGACATTTTTGCTTACTGGCTGTCACAACAGATAATTCATTGTGCATTGGAGGTTAATTTTTTTAAAGCTACATTTACAGAATCTGTATTTAAGTTGTGGAGTGGGTGGAAAGAAGAGACGCTGTGTTGTAAAAGCCAATTTGCTAATCTACAACTCATTATTTCATTCATACACACAATGTTGTAGTGTAATTGATTGTGACTGACAACTAGAACAATGTAAATGAAGTCCACTTGCACTTTCTCAGATGTATTGTCTACTGAACTCTGTATTACAGAAATTCATATGTTCCCTACTGAAAAGTTAGTTTCTGAAGCCCATCACCACCAAATTAATTTTCTATTGAACCATTTTAGGCCTGCTGCAATGCCTGTGAAAAAAGAAGAGCCACTGTTTCCAGTAACCACAGCATTAGCTTACCGGTGAATGACTGCAAATAGGTCCTCTGTTGTTCGGGGTTTATTTGGAGACACAAAAACATCTTCTGGATCAGCCTGGGAATCTTCACTTAAGGGTGAGATTATGGAATCATCGCTTGGAGAAAATTCTTCAGAACAAAAGAGAAAAGCAGCTGAGATATCATCAAACACTTTGATATAATACAGCTAGTTAATATAATATCACTCAGTCAATAACACTGTGTAATGGCAATCTAATCTAGATACAGGATGATCTGTCAAAATAATGTTTACATATAACAGGTTAGTGACCTTTTTGCAACTGAAATGGAATCAAAAGAAATGCAAATGAATGCCTACATAAACATATTTTGCCAAAGGTCGGTAAACATGTAACTGAAATAAATGCTATAGCTGCATTGAAATAAATGCAGCTCTGTCTAATTAAGCTATCTTGTGATTCAATTTAAGGAACTATCATAGCTTCAGGTGCTGAAACGAATCTTGGATATACTACAGAACTAACCTTTGAAGATGTCTTCTTCTGGAGTCTCTTGTAGCTCAGCTGCTCTCCTGTCTTTGTCATCTGAGGCACTTTTGGTTGGAATACCTGACATAGTATAGTTTTCTTGCTCAGTATATCTGCCACTGAGTGAATCTACAGTTGAGATCTCCGGTTCATAGCTGATATTCCCAGGCACTTTGTCATCACATTGGCTTAGACTGAGCTGATGCTTTAGCTGATAACTGATGTCTGCTTCCCGAGATGAGGGGTTAGATTCGAGCGTACCTTCATTGAGGGGTTCTAACTTTTTTTCACAGTGTGCAGGTAGTGCTTGCTGAAGCTTCTGCACAGGGTCAAGTCTCTTATCTTTTTCTGATCCACAAGTAGTTCTCTTCCTATCAGAATTGCTGGATAGTCCTCCCGTGCCCTGTGGAAACCGTTCAGCACAACTGCTGCAGGTTTTATTTAAAGTACTTCCTATTAAAAACTCATGAACCGAGTGTGTTTTGTCTGTTATATATTTAGTTGCTGGAGCACCCATATCTACTGAGGTTAGGGTCTTTTGGCAGGCATTCTTTTCACTGAAAATCAAATCATCATCTGCTTGCAGTTGTTCTGCAGTTATCTGCACTGGAGAAGGATTGATATAGGACACTATGGCCTCTTCCATGGAATACTGGCGTGATATTTGTTTCTTACTTCCATGTGGCTTCATTCTACCTGAAGAAATTGCAGTCACCATTGAAGATTTTGCTTGAATGTGGAGGAAGTCTGTATTATCTTTATGTTTTGTATCTTCAGGCTTATTGATTGCTCGAAGATGTACAGACTTCAGGACTGAAGGCGTAATAGCAAGAGCTGGTGGAGAATTCGAGTTCAGTGCTTCTTCTACCACGTTCGGTTTGTTGTTATTAAAAGCATGTAGTTGATGTCTGTGAGCATAGGGTTTAATCAGGACGTTGTGAAGAGCACTTAGGTCAAGATGAGTTGGAGGTATAACTGGAAGTTCAAGATCTTTATTTAGAGAGAAGTTGCCATCCTTAGAAGCCTGTTGTAAGGAGGATTTCCTTTCTGGAACTTTTGGCTTCCTTTTACTTCCCCCTGGGGATAAGGGTCCAGAAAAGAAAGCTGTAGGAAAGGATGATGTTGGTGTTTCAGACTGGCTGGAATAACCACTTGAAGGAGAAGCTAAACCAGCCAGCTTTTCTGGGGAAGCCAACTTAAATTCATTCTCTACAGAAGGAAGGGAAGGAGTGGTGGCTCGCGATCCAGACTGCGATGTTTGCGATTCTGAACTTTCTGGTGACTTTATGCATTCTATGACTGTAGTACCCGTAGCAGTGCTAGAATTGGATAAAGACCTATAAGGATCATTAGATTTCAAGTCATTTAGAAGCCAGAGATCTGCATAGTGAGATTGTTCAGCACCTTCATCTTTAAAGGATGGGATGTCTATGGTGTCATATGAAATATCTTTCAATCCACTCTCATCCTGATTATCCCAGGGGAGCTCCTGTTTGCTTGGTAAATTAGCATTTTCTGTTCTTGAAGGTGTATTTGCAAACTCAAGGGGCAACTTCATTTCCCTGGATGTATGAGATATGTGCTGCTGCCCACTGCTTATCTTTGGTTCTTTCTTCTCAGGAAGATCTGTGCTGCTGTCAGGTTTCCTTAAAGATGAGCTGCGTTTTGGTGGGGCTGGCTTTGCCTTTGGTTTCTTAAGAGAGATGCTCTGCTTTCCGTGCCTCCTGTGATTGACATAATCCTGCCAGGTGCAGTTAGTAAAACTGGAGGCAACACTTGCATTCTGGCCACTCTCGGATCCCACAGCTGCATAGTTACAAACATAACTTTTAGTTCCCTTGAGACCACAGTCAAAGTGCATGGAGGTATAGTAGCCTTCAGTGTCAACAGAAAAGTGTGAGCTAGTGTCTGCCTTTTCAGATGGGGTCTTCTCTATGAAACTATCATAAGTGGCCATGCTTGTAAAACTTGGACATCCCAGGCTGTCTGTCTTGGGACGTTCAGGACTGAAATCTTGACGACAGGATGCATCATGATGATGATGCAAGTAATTCCATTCACTGTCACTTGTGTTGCTATTATTAGGGTCATCCAGTAGATCTGCTACAGTGGAAGTGAAAGAACTTGCCCTGTGGCCTCTAATCTTATCTATCTGATCAGTATAGTGTTCTGTTATGAAGACGTTTGAGTCCTCGTTGGCACTGGGAACAATGTTAAGCGATAATTCTGAATCACAGTGTGAAGAACCAGTCAGTGGGGGAGAAGCAGCAGGAGGAATAGTTTCTGATGTCTGGGATGGACACGTTGAACTGCTCCCACTCCAGTTCCCACTAGATGATTGGTGATCATCTTTCTGGTCCATGTGACTGCTGAGAAGAACTCCGGCAGTAGAGATGGAATGAATGGGACTTCCAAAGGTGTCAGAATTTGATGAGATATCACAGCTTCCGGAATCGACCATCCTTGATAACCTTGATCTCCCCCTCTCATTGGAGTTGTGATCTGGACTGTGAAGATGCTGAGAACACTTTAAACCTATGGGATGGTGTTCTTGCAAACATGGATTATTAATGGCATCTTTACTCTTTGCAGATATTCTTTCTTGGCTTGTTAAAAAGTGTTCTGCCTCGTATGCCGATACTTTGGCACCAGTCTTGTGGTGGTCCACTTCATTGGCTCTAGCACCTTCACGAGGGAGACTCCTTGATCGTACGCGGTTGCTTACTGATGTTGTAAACATGTTGTCACCATTGTCTGTCAGCACCAATATGTTGCCAGCTGAATGTGACAGGGAGGCTACAACACTTTGACCCCTCTGTGCTCGGATTCTTCTCCGGGACGGAGCAGCAATGAGGATTTCTTCTGTTTGGCACTCAGAATCCCTGGTACCTGATCTCCTGTTGATGTTATTAGAGAAGTCTGGATTTGCATGCACAATCACATTCCGTTCTCTTGCTACTGGTGATTCGTCAGAATCTAGGACACATACAAAATGCGGTGAGGTACCATTCTCTCTGCCTCAAAAACTTTGACCTTTATACTGGCCTGATATAAATCTCAAAATATTTTTTCCTTGCTGCATGTGTATTTTAGTAACTAACATTCAGAGAAAGTAATCACTTGGGTCGTTCTCTTATGCCCTATCCCATTACAGATCCCCTTCAAACAGCAGCTTAATGGTATTTTCTCTGCAAAATTCAAAATCTGCACTTTCAAGACAGTAGTCAAACCACTTTTTATGTAAATTCTGGGTAACTAGATATTTTCTTCATTGGTTTTCCCTCAGTAATATTGATTCTACCTCAGTACTTCATTGGTTCTTTCTACAGTAGTGGCACTGTAGATATCAGAGTGATACTCTCAGAGACAATTTTAGTGACTGTTTTTGCCTAGTCATTTTTTACTTACATTAGGAAAGGAAAAGAGCCAAGCCAATTTACTATGCAGTGCTCCATCAATGATAAGGAAGCGGAAACATGCTTAATAGTGCATGTGTGTGGGGAGAGGGTTGACAAAGATTTCAAGCAATTTAAATATTGAGTCCTGTATGGAATAAAACAACCAACTTGTCTGCATAAATTAAGCAGTGAAAATTAACCATTTCTTTGCAGGGTAACAACCTTTGCTTCTTTACCTTATGGGTCCCTTAGCTACAAGAAAAAACTTTCACTGAATCTAGTTACTTTTTATGTACATATTATGGGTATAGAAACAAACAAAAAGAGAATAATACACCAAAAATAAAGTAACTCATTACATTCAAACAATAAGGGCTGGACATAAATATCTATATTACTTAGTAAGGCCCACAGCAGATCAATACTGAAGGCTATAATGAGTAATATAGTTTGGCTGGCAATATAAAAAAAATAAAGACAAAATGAAACAAAAATACCCAACACAGTATATTTGAAACTCTAGAATCATAAAAGCTGGAGTGTTCCTTGGAAAGCAGTTTGGAAGGCAGGCTATAGTTGCAGTTAAGGCAAATAGAATGCTATCTAGTCAAGAGTTGTATTTATACTACACCTATTTCTTGTTGGACTCTTCTGGGGATGCCAGAGATGGTTTTCCTCCTTCTCAATTTCCGTCTCCGCTGTAGCACGGATTGTGAGTGAACAAGAGAGCAGCGTATACTAGCCTCTCTGTCAAAACCAACTCCTGCAACCCATAAATAGGTCTCATTAGCTTTTAGAAATAGTAGACAAATTGTTATGACTGGAAGACAGTGGAGGTCATGTAAGCACTTTGGATTATGCCTATGAAGAAATATAAGGCAGACCCTGTACAACTCTCATGAGAATTATTCACTGTGATCCACAGTTTGCTTCTAAGCCTGTTCCCTCTGAGCAGCCTGCTTTGCCAAAAGTCACAAAGGGAGGAGAAATGAAATTAAAAAGGGGAGGGTGAGGGTTAAGCATTATTGTTAGCAAGGAACCCTTCAATTGTAATGGTTTGCCCATTTATTATTGATATGCAAGCATCAGCATCTGTGAAATGAATACTAGCATCCAAGACTATGACCAGCTGCAAATAGTTCAAAAACTATTGGTTTGTGTTGAGTGAAATTGTGAGGAAGCAAAGGAACAATGACGAGTCTGATTATGTATTATGCATTTATCTTTTCTTACTGTATTATGTGTACATTATGTATTGACAGTGGATAAACACTATGGATGTGGAGACATATCTGAATGTTCACACTGACTGCATCATCAATCAGTGAAAATAATTATGATCACTATTAATTTCCACAAGTGTTTACACTACACCGTAGTAAACTTCCTTGGTTCTAATTCTTAAAGTATTGTTGTTCTCATAGGAGAGAAGCTAAACTTTAAAGTGATAGTTATCAACCTCTGGCTTTCTAGAAGTTTTGGACTTTACCTTCCAGAATCCCTAATTTTGGGTGTGGTTGATGGGAGCTGAAGTTGGAAACATGTGGAGAGCCAAAACTTGAGAATTACTTTTCTAAACTATCTCCAAAGTACATGTTGGGGTTCAGCTTGTAAAACTTTTGCTTTTTTCTATTTGCTTTATTCAAGTTTAAACTATTTCTTTCCCCCAACATCTGATGGTTATCCACATAGGAAGAACAGAGTTGAATGTTTTCAAATACATTAAATCTTTCATACAAGGAACAGTTGAAAGTTGTGATCTAAATGTTAAATCCATTCTACAAAAGATCTATTTTAATATACTGTACACTGCAACATAAACAAGACCAATACAGTATATAAGTACATCTGCAATTAATTTTTGAAGAGACGTAGAATGCCGTAAGGTAAGGTAAAATGACACCATGCACTACTATTTGAAATCACATGAAGCTGTTTTATTCTACATTGAATGGTCGCTCAAGCTAGTTCATTAGTGTCTACCCTGATTGGTACTGGCTTTCCAGAGTCTTGGGTACCCTTCACCTCACACTTTTAATAGGAGGTATTGGGAACTGAACATTGGGGATTCTGAAGTGAAAACAAAATATTTTCTATTGAGTTGGCCTATGAATAGGTTACCTTCTCAGTAGTTGCTGACACCGAAAATGAATCTACATGAGCCAGTCTATCAGTTTGATAGCATTTTAAACATTGATTTGATCTTACAGAATCTTGGAATTATATGCCAAAGAATGTGTAATTATATTACAAGAGTGACCTAAGAGAGAATTCTGAGTTTCTTCAAACTACAAATATCAGTTTGATATTTGTAATTTGAGTCTGCCTGCCACCTCAGGAGGAGAAAGAGGAAGTCCTGCTGCTTCTCCCCCCTCCCAAGCCAGCTAAGAGGAGAAAGGGGACTGAGAAGAAGACTTTAAAAACACCTGTCTCCTGGCTGTTGCTTACTACATCTGCCTGCCACCTCAGGAGGAGAAGGAGGAAGTCCTGCTGCTACCCCCCCCCCAAGCCAGCTAAGAGGAGAAAAGGGACTGAGGAGGAGACTTTAAAAAAACCTGTCTCCTGGTTGTTTCTTATTGCTTATTGTTTCTGTTGTGGTTTCATATTGTATTTAATGTTTTTATGTGCATTTTCATATTATGTGTATTGACTTGCTGCCTGTAAACCACCTCGAGTCACCGAAAGGCTGAGAAAGGTGGTATACAAAGACCGTAAATAAATAAATATGTTAGTTAAAATGGTACCAAACTGTTTTAACTGTATATGTTATAGATGGTGTGGTACATTCTGGTAGAGCCAGGTTTGATTTGTTCCATGCCGTTTAATCCTTGGGCCATAGTAAATCACATTGCTCCAGCAACATAGATCTATGCATGCAGATGGCACAGTGGGCCGAGCAGAGATTTGTCTCGATTTTTCAACACAACATGCAAAACCATCAACTACAAAATCTAGAGTAAAGCAAATTATTTTAAAATATGCTAAGTAGACAAATAACTCATGGTTGTCATGTGTTACTGGAAAAGACATTAGAATAAAACAGGAAAGGGGGAGATAAAAAGAAAATAGGAAAAATCTATTCATTTGGGTAAACATACGAGGAATTGAGCCATTTATCTACCACTTAGATTTTTGTTCACATCAGATGTTTCCATACTAGATTTTTCTACATCTGTGACTTATAAATCTGTAACAATGGTCCTTTCTAATCTAAGATATTGGTGCAATAGCTAAATAGGGTGTAATTTAAAACACAACTACAAGAATTAAATACGGAGTAGGAAAGCCAAAACCACCACCCAATAAATTCCTGACCAAAAATCTATGTTTTCAGTGTGCTGTATAATTATATCAACCATAATTATACATGGACATACACACACATAGTACATTACATACAAATGTGAAACACAAAAAAGTAACTTTTGGTAAAAGTTCTTCTTGAGATCTACTACAGGAGACCCCAGACAATAATCTATATCAACCACCACTAATGCGGACAGAGATATGTATTTCAGAATCAACAAAAACACTATACATTCTACTTGCCTTCATTCTTTTACTACATTGCTAATAAGGTGGATGGTGGATGGGAGGAATCCCAACTTAAATTTTCCTAGCTATTCCAACAATTTGTTAGTGATAACTGACATCTGTAGTTGCTGGATTAAACAATTTAGAGTAGCTAAACACTGAAACGAGTTTTGAAAATTCCCACAAATATTTTTGCCCTAGCCCACAATATGTAAATGGGGAGTTCTTAGACTGTGTAGTTCTGATTGTTATTTTCTTATAATAGAGTTAGAAATCCAATGTTTCAAGAGAAATCTAAATATCCTGGCCAGGACCCATACAGTTTTATGAGACAAATGATGCTTTATATATATATTTTCACTAAGCAACATGGAAAAACTACTTGAAAAAAAATGCAAAATACTGTTTTGAGATGAGTTTGTTATAAAACATGGACATTGGCCATTGAAAGGAAAACATTACAAATTGCTTAACAGTCTCCTCCCCAAACTTCAAGCAGCTCTTTGGATCACAATTAATCCAGCAAATAATGGGGAGCAAATTTATTAACATCTGTTGAATTTTGCACTAGATTGTTATCACTGACTAGGAATCATTCCTACTTCACCCGTTATATCGTTCTTAGGAAGAGCAAGCGTTCCCACTAAGATTTAACAAAGTTGTTGTAAGCATAATCTGAGAGGCAAATGTCTAGCTTGAAATATCTATGTGCTGTTATATACATATATTAAACTATATGGGCAAATATATAGAGAGAAGTATGAATAGAATATACAGGACAGACATTCAAATACATTAGTATTTCCTTTCAACAAGTACCAGATAATAAAGAGTGCTTCTTTTTAAACACTTTGAGAAGAAAAAAAACATGCATATTTTCCTCTGATTATTCAATACTCCAATCATTAGTAAGGTCAGTATGCCTAAGGGGACTGGAGGTGAGCTAACAAACTGAGGCTTAATTTAGACAAGACATAGATAGATGATTGTAAGAAAATTGATCTGGCAGTGAAATACTACTTGTTTTAGACTTGGCTTCACTCTAAATGAGTAGCATTAGTATTTTATGGGTACTGCAAGATCTGTCATTGCTTTTTTCAAAGCTCTGACGAGCTTACCAGCTACTCCCCCCCCCCACACCCCCAGTAAAGATGGATGTGAAGGACCACATCCCTCACAGACCTGCCCAACAATTGCCATGGAGGCCCTGATTTGTCCTTCAAGGAGGTGAGGCTGACAGTAATCAATACAAGCTTTTTTGTTGGTAGTTGGGGACTGCTTTCTACAGAAAGAACTAACTAGCCATTTGGTGATGGCATTTAGGCAAAACAATGAAGATGTCTTTAGTTTGTGTGTATATGTTCTTTCAAGTTCCTGTAATCTTATAGCCACCTCATGGATTTTATAGGATGCTCTTTGATAAGAATATTCAGAGCTGGTTTTGTCAGTTTCTTCCTCTGAAATATAGTCCACAGCAACTGGTATCAATTCCTATCCAGGTACTAACCAGGGCTGATCCTAATTAGATTCCAAGCTCAGTTGGGACAGGTGCTTATACGCCAGGTGCCTATATAGAGAGCTTTTGATGGATGTTAACTGCATATGGTATCTGTGCCTCACACAAATGGGTTTTCTACCTGCACAGATTCCCATTTGGAAAGTTCCGGTGCTGAATAGCATAGTAGAAACACTCCCCACTGTGCATGTCCTATCCCAGCAAGCTACTGCCCCCTCAAACAGAGTAGCTTTTCTTTCAGTTGTCTTCCTGCTTTTTTTTTTGCTGAATATTCATTACTTTGTCTTCTTTACTATTTTTTCATTCTACTTCATGTCATATTTTACCCTACCTCCTTTTCCCCCCTCTCGTTAAATTTACATCATGTTTTTGTCCCCTCCTTTCCCCATGGCCTCAACGGCCCCATTTAAACTTTGTTCTGTCTATAACTAAGGTTTTCCTGTTATAAGGACACCCAGTGTCTTAGGGGAGGAATATTGTGGAGAAATGTGCTGTTTGTAAAAATTTCACTTCACAAACACTGAAAAATAGGACTTTCTGCTTAAAACTATTGTTGGGAGAAGTTCCTTCCAGCTGCCTCAACAAGTCGGTTCAATCCAACCTTTACATACACATTTGGTTTTGCTAACCAAACCATGCAAGTCTCATTAAGTTGTATCTAAATCTTTGGTATCAATGTCATTCTCAGATCCTGGCACATCCGTTACCCTGCTGTGATATGGACAGAAGGGGGCCCTTCCTTGTGGCATCTGGCTAAGGATAAGCTGACTCACTTTTAAGTCTTGGCATAAAAAACATGCTCTGTGTGATAACCCACCAGAATTGACGATTATAAGTACTAAAGAAGAAATCCAAGCATTCTAAGTCTGCAGATGGAAGCAGTCATGTTTCCATCTATGATCCTGATTCTGCTAGCATTAACACCAGTGTCACTGATTTCTGCATCTGTTTTCATCTTCGCAACTATTACTGATGCTTTTGTGACTTCAACAGTGCCAATAGTAGTCAAACGTTCTTCATTGATCCCAGATTCTGGTCACCTGAGCATAGATCATCCAGTTGGTATTTCTTCTCAATATAAGGACTCTGCTACACCGCCTCCACTCGCATCAATATTTGTTTCACAATCAAGAACATAGGTACCAAGTGAAATCAACTTCAGCATCAATATTGTATATTAATCGATACCTATAGGATCATTTGTGGAGGGAATTTTCTTATTACTTCTATTATTAGAATTTATTGTCATGAATTTTGTCACCAATATCTAATTGTTGCTATTATAGTGATTCCAGGTCTCCATGTTCACCTCATGGCCATCCTTCTCGATATTAATCTCCAGTTCCACCACAGTATGACAATATGACGCATTGGTTTGACCAAGACAACATCCTGCATCTTGTCCACCTAGAACCATCTTCACCATATTGCATTCTCTTTTCTATCCTATGGCTGCATTGTCTCCTTTTGTGATGCGTTCAGCTCTGGTACTGATAACTACCTCCACCTCTATACCAGCCTGCCCCAAATGCTCAGATTTTTACCACACCTCTGATTACTCAGTTGACTGCATTGAGTCCTATGCCTCCAACATGTACCAGAGTTGTCTACACTGTTCTTACTGTTCCTCTTCAGTCACAACAATCTCAATAACCTCAACAACCACAACATTGGGTTGTTGTAGGTTTTTTCGGGCTGTATGGCCATGGTCTACAACATCCTGTGTTTGCTTATTCATCTGAGAATGACTAAGAGTGACTCCCCTTCAACTGACTTTCCTTCTTCTCTGGCTTTGTTCAGTTCAGGTAATGTTGAAGATACTACTCCAGCTTTGCCTTTTGAAGATGTTAAGCTATTTTCTGATATAGCACTTAGGGTGGCCAACGTTTTTGACATCTACGTTATATCTTTTCAACTCTAACTGCTTATCCAGTTTTTTTGACCAGAGGATGCACAATCTCTTACAATGCAATGATTCCACTCTTACCTGTTTTGCAAGAATTAATAAAGCAATCTTGGATGAAACCAGCCTTGCTCCATCCAGCTTTATGAAGGCTGGAATTCTTGCTATTTATTCAATTGGACAGCAAACCTAGAGCAAATTTTCTCTCCAGTTCTCCAGTGACCTGATTCGCCATCCTCTGGTAAACTTCACATTCACTCGTTTGTTTGAGGCACAGACACCATGATGAAGAAGAATAGGTTGCTTACCTATAACTATGTTTCTTTGACCAATCATCTGTGGCATTGCACAAACCCAACCTACCTACTATCTTCAGGTCCCTATTTTCTCCCCAACAGCAGATTGAAGAGCTAGGAAATGCTCTAATGAGGAGTGGCAGGATGCCCAGTAAGCTATTCAACTCTAGAACCTTCCAAAGAAAGTCTCTGCACAGATGTGAAACCTGTTTGTATAAATGCTTTTTTGTTTGTTTGTGGTAACTCTTTTCATTACTTCATGAGTGTATTGTATTTTTGCTGTTGTCACTTATGGGGACTCAGTAAAGAAATACTTTCCCAAAAGGATGCATTTTGGAGAAAGACACAATTTTTCTTTTAATGTAATGCTATTGCCATGGAATTAGATGAAAAACAAAAAAACAATTGACTAGTTCCAATTAGTAACAGATGGAGGCTCTGATGCCAGGAATAAGGGTAATTACAGGTCTTAGTCTGAACTTTAAAGGACATAGCTAAGGGGCTGAACAAATTTGGGGGATGATTTCCAGCTCTTTGGAAGCTTCTTTTTAGAGTTTATACTAAAATTTGGAAAAAGCTAGTAGATGCCAGTGGTTCAAGCACACTACTAAACAGAATTCCCATTATAAGAATGAGTCTGCATGGGCATTTGGATGGCAAGAGCTTAACATTTCACATACACAGGGAAGAAACTGAAACTTTGCATGTTTGCTTGAGTACTAATCACAGGTCCTTTTTACATACAACTCAGAAGCAAGCAAACTAGGATCAGCTCAGGCTAGACATCCTAATTTGTAAACCAAAATCACAGAACTAATGTAATCAATAATAACAGTTTTCCACATTCTGACACAAATAACAGATAAACAAAATAAAAGCAGAATTTTCAATGTACTTGTAGACAGAGGGAAAATACAAGCTTAGAGACTTGTACAGGATTTATTCATACCAGAAACCATAATAGAGAAATGAGTCTCTCCAGAGAAAGTTCCATTGGTTGAAATGATCTACTCTGGTTGGGACTAAAATAGATTAACCCAATATAAATACACTTAAATTATAATATCAGTACTTTATCTTTTTGCCTTAGAACATTATAAAATATTTTTAATACAAGTTAGAATCTGCTTTCTTATTTGCTCTGGAACATACAACCATAATGTTATGAGTGACCTCTCTGCATTTGGGAGTTCTGTCAGTGTGTCAGATGTTGTTTGTTGGAATGGCAAGCATCACTCCAATGCATGACAAGCCTACACAATGCAAAAGCATGATGCGAAAGCACAATACAGAAGCACAATGCAAGAAAAAAAAACCAATAAATCCTACAACCATGCCATTTTATTCCAAATATAAACAAACCAATGGCAGTGGTTATTCATGAAAGAGCACTTTAGCTCAATGGAATGCATTAAAGCTTTGCTAAATTCCTGCCTCATAAACTTTCATTTTTCCCTGATCACAACCCCATGTTTAGGGGTATGCTCACCATAATAAAAATTAGAACTTGAACAACTTTTTGCCAACAAAAAAGAAGAAGTACAAGAAATCTGTACCAGTGACATTGATGGGGATAATGCAAGAGGAAATCACTTGGGCATCTTGTTTCATTTTCTCCTCTGGAGTTGGGAGAGGAAGTGCTTTGCTCCAGTTGGTTTGCTTATCCAGTGTAGAAGGGATATTATGTACTGGATTTTTCGGCCTCTGCCCTAACATGACATCTGCGTCTTCTTCCTCTGGATGGTGGGACTGTAAATGAATACAATCAAAATCAGTATTTACTCTTTTACAATGTGAGATCGCCTTTTAAAATATATCCACATGTGAGATTTGGAAGTAGATTGCAGGAAAGGAGGAAACAAAGATTTGTCAACAGTTCATAACAACAGGCTTTCAAGAAATACATAGTAGACAGGAGGTGAAACCCATCTAGCTTACTGGAAATATTTATATACTGGAAGCCAAAATGAATTTGCAGGAAGAGGAAAGAACAGCCAATTTCTGTTTAGTTTCTGCAAGCATGTATGCTCTTACTCCATTTGAGCATATGATATTAGCAACTGTATGCAAATTTGAGTTCATTTTGTTAGCTATGTGCATGTACAAATATCCATTGCAAATCAGTTACATGCAAACTTTCTGCCCATCACAATATCCAAGTCATGTAACTGGGCTTACTCAGTGCAGGCTGAATTTGAGTCACATTATGTGGAAATAGTTTGATAGAATTTCAACATGGTTTCAAGCTAAGACCAAAGAAGTTCAACAGAACTTATTTCCAAAGATAATTTTCACCCATTTAGCTGATCCTGTCTAGGAAAGTACATTTTCCAAAATGAAGAAAACTGAATTGGAAGGAAACACAGAAAGGACCAGGATAAATGTTTAACACAACCAAAGATATATCCTTAATTGTAACTCAATAATAAAACAAAAAATGAAACAGCAAAGGTTACGTCACAACCGTAAAGTCTGCAGAATATCTAGAAAGCATGCAAAAATAATTCAGAATATACTATCCAAACTATAAGGCACACAAGATAAAGAGAAACTAAGAGAGTTGAATCACACAAAAAGAAAACACTATTTTTGAGAAGAAAGCATGACTATTGTGCTTTGTTGTTTTACCAAGTGAGAGGGAAAAAAAGATTAGAAGCAGTTTGTTGAAACAAATGCCTTTTGAAAAACTAAGCTGTTTGAACAAGCTAGTTGAGCGTAAAATACTTTTTTCCCCAGACTATCAAATTATTCATTTTTCATTTATTTTATTATTTTACTGGAGTGCAGCCCTGGTGGAAGTTTGCTGGCTGTTCCAAATATGGATTTCCACATCTAGTGTGAATTTGTGTTTTCTGTTGCTAACTTTGGAAGACTCCACTTTTCTCTGCAATCTATCTTGGAACGTTTTAGTTCTTTCAACTCTTCTTACAAGCTTCAATATTTAATTGGCTCACTCTGTCAGCCTTTAACATTTCACTCATTTTCCAAATGATTTACACTGTCGAATAATTATAGCTTGTTTTTCTTCATAAATGCCTTTGGGGACATCCTTTCCATAGAGCCAGGACGAGCTCACAACTATTACTTAACTCCCTCAATGAAGTGAGTAGGAAGCCACACTTCGCTGCTACTTGTCCAAGTAAAGTTACATCAAATTGGTTGCTTACCTTGTTGGAATCTTCTGCAAAACTGCCCACCAAAAGGGCAAAAATACGAGGGACTTGTCTCTCCCAAAAATATTTTCTGCCATCCCTGGGTTAGGAAAACACTGCAGCTTTCTTTATCTGGTCAGCTTTTGTGCTGTTCCCAGCAGACATGAATGGCTCATATAAACTACTAACACAAAAGAACTTTGTTTCCTAGGTAACATCTGAAAAAAAAAGTTGGTGTATGGAGAGAAAAAAGCTCCACACAGCCTGTATTTTGTGGCCGATTCCTTCCCTGAATAACAATAGATAGCTGGACAAAGAAAGTGAAGTGACCTGACCACAATTTCTGACTGTCTGCCAAAGCTGCTCTTTAGCAAACAATGGCAGTGATAACAGGCCATAGGAGAGATCCATGCTTTTGCTTTGGTGAGTCCCCTTTAGATGGTGTGGTTTTACAAAATCTCTTGCTGGCATTTTCCTCTTTAGAGACAAATTTGGTCCAGGTTTTTTTAAAAAATCAGCAAAGGGGGATCCCCTCTTATAAGCTACTAAACCTATTAAATGTACACTAAGCTGCTGAAAGGATGGGGAGGTTTAAAGGGAGCAGAAAAGTTGGCATTCCTTATTGATAAGAGTGTAACACAAAGGCAACAAAGTTAGTCAGCCAAAAAGCAAGCAAGCAAGAGAAAGGATTAGCCTACTGGAGAGAGCACGAGAATGAATGAGAGACTGTTATTTTAGTACTCTTCCAATACCTTTCTACTCCATGGGGTCATGTGGCAACACTCAGTGGGGGAGGGCGAGCGGGTGCGGTAAAACTATAAACATGAAATGTGGGGGGAAATGGTTAAAAAAATGAAAACACATACTCAAAATGATTCTGCGGTTTTGGTTAAAATAGTACATTAGAGATATACGCTGTCAATTTAAAACACATCTTTAAGGCAAGCCATTTCCCAATGGGGAAAAAACTTGTCATTCTATAAAATTTTCACTTGTAATGAGGCCTTGTGTTGTTGCTTAGGATTAGCTCTGCAATTTTCCACCTGTTTAACTTTTACACCTAATTGTTATTTACACAGAGGGAGGCTAATGGGCATAAAAGCAATTGCATATGCATGTCTCTGTCAAACAAGCCCTTTGATAGCTAAAAATGCTTAAGGCAACAATGGAGGTTCCTCTTCCTTGACCATGGGAGGAGCTGTCCCAATTCTACACATTTCCAAGGCATACTATTTTAAAGATTTTCTCGTGTGTTCTCCTATCCATCAAATGGATGCTGAAAGCATCAGATATGAGCTTTGCCCTTGTTTCACACAATTAACACATACTGGGCTTCTGTGTGATTTGGTCTGAGAAATTGGAACATTTAGAGCAGGAGTTGGCAACTATGAGGGGATGGTTTCATTCTCTGGACTCACCACAGTACACCATTGAAACATTTTGGTGGCAAAATGGAATAGCCTAGCATTTTTTTCTGACAAATTTCAGGAGCATGTCTTTTGGAGGAAGACCTGGGAGTTGCAGCAATGTCCTAGGACAGTGGTTCTCAACCTGTGGGTCCCCAGGTGTTTTGGCCTACAACTCCTAGAAATCCCAGCCTGTTTACCAGCTGTTAGTATTTCTGGGAGTTGAAGGCCAAAACATCTAGGGATCCTCAGGTTGCGAACCACTGTCTTAGGACCATGTGTTACCAACCCTTGATTTTGACAATGATGGGCCCAGAGTTGAAAAATATTCTAAAGGTACTATTTTCAAGTCAGTATGGGACAGTGCACACCCAACGAACTAAGAACCCCATCAACTTTTTGCTTCTGTGATGTGGAACATAAACCCATGTTCACAATATTACACTGATATTGTTTTACACTTGCCCCTAACAATTCTTTGTTTCTGAACATAACCTGAGCTTGTAAGTCTTCAGTGAGACCTTGATAATTGAGAGCCAAGGAAGAGGGCAATTGAGCAAGACAGAGAAGAGTGTGGGTCTTTAAAATGCCTCTTGGACAATTGACCTAGGCTTAAGGACCTGCTGTATTGTTGGAGATCCCAGAATTCAACAGGGTCCAAATGTCAACATTTGGTATTACACATTCATTTTCCAATTTTAACATTCCCATGGAAGTGAGTGGGTTGATGGGTCCAGTTCTTGATCAATGTGAGAGCAGTTCACTCATTGCCAGAGAAAACGTGGATTGCTTCCAGTGCTGTTACTCTAAATTAACAAAGTTAGATGTTATGAAAAAAAAGTGAATTACAGGATGGAATGAGATTATCATCACTGTTTCATACAAGTCACTTCTATAGTAAGCATTCTTCTACATATTCACATGAATAGGATTATTGGGCAGATTTTAACTATTTACTCACCCATGGCATGAAATTGCCTAGAGAAACTTTCCTCACCAGTGCTAAGTCTCAACTTTATATTTTGAGTTCTGCTTCTCCTCCCCAGAAATGCCCCAAGTGAAAAAATCTAGCCAGAAAGGCACAATTTCCTGCTCTAGAATCAGATATCTCACTACTTTCAGCCTATCCCCTTCATTTTATTTTTGGGGCTGATGCAGTCCATGTTACGTAATGGAAGTGGGGTAAAAGTTCATACTAGCAACAGCACAGTTAAGGAGGACTTGAATAGCTGTGCAACTATCCAAAATCTCTTCCACCATTCAGGAGTCATCTGCTCACACTTAGGGCTAAAGCTGGGGTTGAGGACATGTAGTGAAAAACAAACCCAGAGCCCAAACATCTCTGTACACCCAGAAGTGCACAAGACATTTATGCATTGAGTGTGAAAGTTGTGTGAACGTGGTTAGAGAACTGCCTTCACTCCTTTGCAATCAATGTAGTAATATCTGTTAAGCTTCCTGATGCACAGTGATGTTGAGACACAGCTTACATGTATGCATACATTGCCCAATTTTGTTTCCCAGGTAGGCATTCACTGATGAAAAAAAAAAGCTAGTAAAATAACTAGTTAAAGACACCAGTACGTGGTGGTATTAGGGTGATTAAGTCCTGTTTTGCCAATAAGCTCAAGCAGATTTTTTTTACTGAAAGGTCCTTGCAGACAGCCAATTCTCTCACACCAGATGTGACTTGCAGTTTCTCAAGTCACTTCTGACATGGGAAAAGAACCTGAAAGGTCTCCAGGTAATGTTTAACTTTTCTAAGCTCCATAGAAAACTGGAACAGAAATAAGAAGCTCACATTCGTTCACCATTCCTGGCTCAACTATGCAGACTTAACTATTATTATACTGTCCAAAGGAAGAACCTTCATGACTTCTTTGTCCCAACCTTTTTTCTACAACATGAATCCTTAAAATAGATCATAGATGCAACCTTATTTTAACTCTGCAGCACCTTCTTCTGTTGACATTTCCTATAAGGATAAAACATGTGTCTATATAGTTCAACAACATCTATATTTTCATGAATTCTTGAAGCTATAGTTTTGTAGATGAGTCATAAATATCATGAATAAATGAGTCATCACATAAAAACTGCCACACATGTGCAAGTGATTAATTTTACAAATTGTAGTGAGATCTGTATCATGTATATTGTAAACCTAGGAATCTATGTGGTGGCAAAGAAAGATAATAACAGGGAAACTGATGAGCACAATTGTTATTCATTCACACATCTCACTGATATGTAAGTTGGCTTTTTAAGGAAGTGTTGGTGCTTTTAAGAACAGCATGGCTTAGCATAAGTAAAGGTTGACAAGTACTGTTTCTTCAGGTATTACCTGGCAAATCTCTGCCAGACAGAATTACAGCTATAGTTGAGTGTTGGTCTGGAAGAGATCCTTGTCTCCAAAAAAGATCAAAAGCACATATGGAAGAAAAGAGAGAACTTACTTTTAGCACGTGACGATCCTTTGCCTCTTTGTGTTTCTGATTGTAGGTCACAGGGAAAGAAGGAAATGGGGGAGCCACCACTGAGATTTGACTCTGGGTTTTCTGTTCTCTGTTCTCACCCCGGTTTCGCTGCTCTGTTTTGCAAGAACAAGACATAAAAACTGTTCAAACTGGAATGCTTTTTTTTTTAAAAAAAGCTGACGGAGAACACTTGAACCACTATCCAGATCCAGTTCATTGTAAGTACGAATATTCTGCATACACTCATGTATACATTTTCTACATACAGAAGTGGAGAGCATGTTTAGGGTCCAAAATTATGGAATTTGATATTACCTGTGGATATTGGCAATCATTCTGCAGGGAAAGGAAAGCACCAGTGTCACCTGAGTGGATCGGCCGCCCCAGGCTGCCACTACATTTCTCCACCCAGAAATTCAAAAAGGCCAGAAGTAGCACCATAGCGAACATAATAGAGGAGTTTACTGCTTCTTTTGGGTTCTCTTGGGGTGGACTAAGCTATTGCCTTTCATGACTCTTCTCAGAGGAGGGGATGGATGCTTTTTTGGTAAGAGTTTCTTTGTTTGTTTGTTTGTCTGTTTATACCCTGCCTTTTTCTACCCCGAAGGAGAATCAAGGCGGCTTACATAGAGGCAACTATTCAATGTCTTAAAACACATACAATTCCAAAATATTAAAACTAATATTAAATTAATACATATCAAACATTTAAAAACATTTCATTCAATATTATTATCATGCCATCCATAATCATAGTCCAAGTCATTCCATAGTCATTGAACATATTCCAGATCTGTTATTGCATTGCACTATTCTCCAAAAACTGATACCACAGCCAAGTTTTACTTTTCTTCTAAAGGCTAGAAGGGAGGGGGCTAATCTAATGTCACTCAAGAGAGAGTTCCATAGCCGAGGAGCCACTACTGAGAAGGCCCTGTCTCTCGTCCCCACCAGTCACGCTTGCGAGGGGAATGGGACTGAGAGCAGAGCCTCCCCCGACAATCTTAATCTCTGAGGTGGTTCATAGGAGGAGATACATATATCATGGTGCTGTACATTGGCCTGTGGATAAATTGACCCAGGATTTTGGATTGCTTTTTTGATTAAAATTTATAGACTTATATATGGGGTAGATATAATCTTGAGCATGTTCTTAATACAAGGAAAGCATCATATAGGGATAGTTCTCATCTATTGGTAGGTCATGATTATTATCCTCTTCTAAGATGGGATGGGTAGGAAAACATTATCCCTCTGTAGGTTTTCACTGCAACTCCCACAAACCCTTTCCTAGTCAGGGATTTGGGGATTCAAAACCCCAAACAGCTGCAGAACCAGGTCTTAAGGACAACCTGTGAATTTATGATGGATGCTGAAAAGCCTAATATGCACCTTGGTCTCAAAGAATCCTTTCACACTTCACAATAATAGCACCCTGATTTACTTTAGATGCCATGGCAACATATTGTGGTATTCTGGAGTTTGTAGTTTGGTGAGGCACTAGAACTCTCTAACAAGAATTCTAGATACCCATTCCTATGGCAATTAAAGCAGAATCATAATGTTATAAGTGGGTAGTGTGAACAGTCCACAAGCTACCACCATATCATCTTTCCATACACAATTTAAAAGGTGATGCACTTCCTCTTGAAAAATGCAATCTTTCAGTGTTTCTCAGGCTACCTAAAATGGAAGACTGGCATTTTACTTCTAATGTGCCAGGGCCAAGTGCCGTATTTGCATCCATTGGCTACAATTGCTTCTGTCTTTCCTGGAAACACAATGATAGTTTAAGGACTGGCACCAGTCTATGGACCACCACTTTGAGTAGATGTGACCTGAACATATTTAGGATGCTTTCCAGGCATGTGACAGATTAAATTCAGTTGTTACTCTCAGTTACAGCAGACCTATTGAATGAATACAAATTCAATAAACATTGACTTGTCAAGTCCCCACTGATTCAGTGGGTCTACTCTAATTGGGAATAAGGATTGGATTTAGGGACCAAAAATAATTCATTTACATATCTGATGAAGAAGAAGGAGAATTCTGCCTCTCTATCCCCGTAAATTTAACATTCCCTCTCATGCCCAGAGTAATATTCTTGCCAGCAATAGTAAATTAAGACAAGACAGTATATCCTTAACTAATACCAAATTGCTATAAAAAAATGGAAGGAAGGATAGTAAGAAAATTAACATAGTTTTATTTTAGCCCAAATTGCTCAGGGGAATGTGACAGCAAAAATCTAATACCAAAGTTGGTATCAAATAATTTAAATGGGAAGTATTCAAGAAAGAAAATAATCATACAGTCTCTTTATGAGGCTTTTACTTGTTTATTCTTTGCTGAAATGCTTCTCTCCTGGCCACAAGATGGCAGAAGAAGATTAAAACAGCTGCACTGCAGAATCTCCCCTAACACATCACAAAAACTCTATTGTAATTTTAATATTATTATGATCGTATTTCCCTTTATGATTTTTTTAGTGCTATTAAGACAGATGTCACCCGCAACTTGCTATTAAGATAGATTATTAAGTAATTGATTAATTTCTTATTTGTAGCCTTTATCCAATGTGGCCATTCTGATCAGTTTATTTATTCATTATTTATTTATTTTGGACATTTATATACCATCTTATCTCGACCTCTGCAGAGGGACTCAGGGTAGCTGACAAGCATAAGCATAAATATACATCTTAGATAAAAACAGTATAAAACATTATAAAAACATCACAAAAACAGTAAAACATTAGAACAATCGCCAGAATTAAATCGTCGTCCTGCATACAGTCCATTTGAGTCCATCAGAGTCCATTAAACCATAGCTCTACCATCACATTCGTCTAGTCCGCAAAGGCCTGATCCCACAGCCAGGATTTCACAGTTATTACCTATTTGAAATTGTTGAGATATGTGTACAAACTCTAGATAAAATAATCACGTCAAGGGGATCCTAACACTGGAAGAACGAAGGACAGGATCTCTAGATTATTTTTGCCAATTAAAATCAAACTGTTTTCACTGGTCTACATTGGTTTTAGTCAGAACTTGAGAAAAATGATTTTGAGGACCCCAAACAACAGAATCTCCCAGTTAGAAGAATTGCAGTCAAAATAATATGAAGCCTATATAATTGGCTTCTTCAGTCTCACTTGTTGTCTGGATGCAATTATTCTTGCAAATAAAGAAATCTCAGGACAGTTTGAGTGCTTTTAAACATTCCCATGCCTGAATAATGATTTACTGTCACGCACCTCTGCTTGTTTTGGAGTTGTTTTCACTGTCAGAAAGGCATTTCTAATGTAATAGATGCCTTCCTTCTTGTGGGGAAAAGAACAGTTGGAGGGTGAATTTTATTAGGAAATAGAATGACAGTAAAATCTTAACAAGCTCTCTGCCTCCCAATTGTAGCCCTTTACTGTAGTATACAGCTTCTGTTTTGAGCAAAATAACAAATAGAGTGAGAGACAACTTGGTTATGTGTAATCTGGCAGCAGGCATGTAGCCGGGGGGAGGGGGGGGGCTTGAGGGGCTTCAGCCCCCCCCCCGAAATTCTCATGGTGGTTCGCGAAAAGGCCTTACTGGTGCATTATTTAAACTATATGTCAATATATCCCATATGCATGGGGGTATTGGGGTAATGATACAAAAGGTTTGCTAGGCTAGACCCTCTTTCACTCAACTTCAGCCCCCCCCAAAACTCAGCCCCCCAACCCCCCCTGAAAAAAATTCAGCCCCCCCCCAAAACGAAATCCTGGCTACGGGCCTGTCTGGCAGCTGTCACACTCGTTACCTACAAAGCAAAGGAGATCTGATCAAAGGGCATAAGAGTCAAGTAAAACAAATGGTTAAAGTGCCATTTTTAGAGAAACAAGAAGCTTCTTTGGGTCATCAGGTTATTTCATTTGAGCCAATATTACAGAACTGGGACTTGAGAGGTCCCATTTTCTTATTCCCACCAAGCCATGAATCTCACTAGGTGACTTGGGCCTGTCAATCTCAGTTTGATGCATCTGTCAGGTTCCGCTGGATCTTAGAATAAAACTCGCACTCACAAGTAGATACTCGGATTTGGAGTTTATTTCAGTCCATACAGAACAAAGTCAAAGAGAGAACTGAGGTTTCCCGCCAAGAGTCTCCAGATCCCCCCTCCTGGCTTCGCCCCCTCCCTCTCCCCCTTGCTTATCAAAGTTTAGACTAAGATTCCTTTTCCCACAGCTTCAAAGTGAATACTATGCCCAGATGGCCCTGCCATAAACCCATCTATCATCATTGCTCCCTCTAGTGTCAGGAAGAAGACTTCTTGGAATCTCGAATATGAAGGCACATCCTGACATATCTCCCCCCCTCGGAAGATGGCCCCCATCTGAAAGAAAAAGAGAGAAGCATGAGACACAACATCAAGGCTTGGGTTTCAGCGGAAAGGCAGAGTGGAACTTTTTCATAAGGCGCGGAGCGTTTACATGCTCATGTAACACCCACTCCGGGTGGATAGCCTTAGAGGACCACTGAACCAAATAATATAGCTTTCCCCGCGTCCGCTTGGAGTCCAAAATGTCCTTGATCTCAAAATGAGTATGGGCCCCCACCATGATAGGGACTGGTTGGGAATCTGCCTCAGACCATTTAGGAGAGGAGCATGCGGGTTTCAGCAAGCTCACATGGAAGACTGGGTGGACCCTCCTCCAAGTGTGGGGCAGTTCAAGCCGTACTGTAACCGGGTTGATGACCTCCTGGACGGGGAAGGGCCCCATATATAAAGCTGACAGTTTACGGGACGGCTGGGTGGATTTCAAATATTTGGTGGACAGGTACACTAGGTCTCCCACCCTGAGCTGGGGTTGCAGCAACCTCTTTTTGTCAGCGAATTTTTTATAGTCAGTCTTGGCTTTGTCCAAAGTCTCTTTAACCAAAGGCCAGGACGCTGCAATCATCTCTCCCCATCCCTCTGGTGAAGTCTCCCCTGGTCCCGGGGGTGCTAGGCCTGGAAAGGGGGGAAAGTCCCTACCCCCCACAATTTTAAAAGGCAAAGACCCTGTGGACGCATGTTCGCTATTGTTGTAACTATACTCAGCGAAGTCCAGCAGGGAAGCCCAATTGTCTTG